TTCCACTGCGCCACCTAGCTGCCCCTCATTTTATATTTTTTGAAAAGATTGTTTCAGGAGTTATTTTCTTATATCAGGAAATAATGAAGACTCTGAGAAACAGTTTATTATATGATACTTTAGAAAAATGAGTAAAAGCTTTCAGGATAAACATCATTCATAGTTAAATATTTTACATGTTATTGCTTCTTATTTTTAGCTTTTAAGGTTCCATTCCAAAAAAGGAAGTGATTTACATCCCCTAACATGTCTTCAGCTTCATTATAAACATTCTGATAATAGAGGACCCCAAGTAAGTTTTACTTTTGATTTAATACCAAATTTTACTTTTTCTCATTTGAAATAGAAGAGTATTATCAGATCACTTATCTTTCACTTATGATTATTTTATTGGGATGAAATAATAAAATGATAATATTTATTAAAATGCTCTGCAAGCTTTAAAGAGCTCTATACATGCTAGGTATTGTTATTATGTTGTTATTCATGTCACTGTTATTTTGCTAGTGATGTTAATATTTTCTTCTTTTTAGGGCAGTCAGGCACGACTTAGTTCAGTTCCTCAGAAAGCAGAATTGCATATTAAATTAAATCCAGTGTTTTGTGAACTGGATATTAGTATTGTGGATAGGTTAAATTCCTTGCTTCAACCACAGAAGCTTACCACAGTGGAAATGATGGCTTCCCACATGTATACGTCTTACAACAAACATATAAGTCTGGTAAGTGCCTAAAATATTACAATCCAACTGTATCAAGTATACTTATAATTAGCTCCAATTGTGTTTTATGAAGATAGGGGAATTTCTTGGCTCTTCCAAGTACTGTTTTACTCAGCAACAGCTGTTGTTGGAAGTTAGGTGAATGTCAGATTATTCTTTGTCATGAAAGAGTTTGAAAGAAACAGAATTCATCCTTTAGGGAGCATCATAAATGCTGTGGGTTGTTGTTTTTCATTGTTTGTCTTGAACTGTGATTTCTTTAGAACACCTGGTTTGGAAACAATCTGTACCAATGCAGATCAGTAACTTTTCTGCAACTAATCATCTTAGGGGCATGGAGAGGTTCAGTGTCTTCTCTAGGGTCATGTGGTCAATACCAGAGGCTATTGAACCCAGCCAGGTCTTCCTTACTTTAAGGCTGACCATTCATCGCTGTGATGTCTGATGCTGTAACAGTGATCCGTCTTTTACTAGGAAACGAAAACAATCAAATGTGGGTAAAGAGATATTTAGTAGCTTCTTTTCCTGGAAAAAAAAGGGAAGTTTGAATTATTTAATCAGTGAGGAGATGGGCAACTGTTGGACCAAATGCAGACGTTGTTAAGTCAGCTTCAAGGAAACACGAGGACAAATTTCTCTATTACTGTGAATTTATTAGTATATTTTTCCTTAGAAGGTATCTAAATAGCTATCTTAAGTCAGTGTTCTTTATTATTTGTTTGTCATTAATTCTTGTTCAATTAAGACACTCAGTACAAAGTATTTGCCCACTACTAAGCATGCTTTGAAAATTTTGTCCTTTGTGTCTTACTGTCCATCAGAGGCTCTAATCCTTCCTTCTAACATATGGAGCTTCACAGCATAAAGTAAGGTAGTTGTGTGACATGAAAAGCTGAATTTTCTGCTAGTAAAATATGCACCTTTATGGAAGAGATGTTGGTAAGAGTCTCAAAATGAGAGGTGCTGAACAGAGAAGGGACCACCTGCATTTCTGCAGTTAGAGATTCATGGAAGCATAAGTATTTAAAAAGTGTCTCTTATTTTGCCCCCTTGTCACATGTTTTGTTCTCAGTGGCTCTGTTTTAACTATCTCTGGTGTCGGATCAAACCCTAAATGAATCATGGGTTTTGGTAATATAGGTTTTCACTAGTTAGCTGTTGTAGCCGAATGATGTGGGAGGAGCTTTCTTGAGTATAAGATTATGTTTTTTTCTAAAAGTAAGTTAGGAATTTAGGAATAGAATAGATGAATATTAAAACAAGAAAAAAGAAAATATATAAGAGGAAGACTAAGAGCCAGGAGATAAGATGTAGGATAGACTTAAAACCTAACGTTCATCTGATGTAATTTAGGTGCTTTGATATTTCTTAGATGACAAAACATATGGAATTGATTTTGGTTGTGGGATTCTTTTCCTCATGTGTTTTCCTTATATATCTTTTGTCAGTGCTATATATCCTATAATATCAAAAAGGAATTTTTTTTTCAAATTGTTCAAAAGCCCATTTCATCTACAGTTGGGAATTTTAAAAGACTTTCCTGTGTAATTTTACGGACTGATATTTTTTATTCCTCTTAAAAATAACACCAGTAGGGGAAAAAAATATAAAAATGAGTCAAAGTGGAAAAAAAAAATAACACCAGAGGGGCAGCTAGGTGGCGTAGTGGATAGAGTACTGGCCCCGGAGTCAGGAGGAACTGAGTTCAAAGGCGGCCTCAGACACATAACACAGCTAGTGAGCTGTGTGACCCTGGGCAAGCCACTTAACCCTATTGCCTAGCCAAAAAAAAAAAAACAAACCCACTAGAAATTGTGATACTTAAATACGTTTGGTAATATCTGTACCCATTTCCAGACTAAAACAAATACAATTAACAGATTAGTTATATTTATTTATTCCACTTTAAAATACTGCTTTAAAAATGTTGGATTTTTAAATTTGTTCTAGCAGTTTTGTGACGTTAGCATTGCATTATACATTATAGTATACAGAAGAAATGGATAATTAAATCCTTTATACAAAACTTATGTAGGCCTGAATTTGTGAAACTTGAGCAGGGCATATTTCAACAAATGTTTTTAAAATTCTCTTAAAATGTTTTTTTTAAATTACAAATTAGAAAACCATCAGCATACATCAGCATTTCCATGGACAGAGAAGGCCAGAAAAAGAAGCCTGTGCATGAAGCCATCAGTCTTTTGTAAACAATTTAAAAGTAATGTGTGTGTATGCATGTGTATATAGGTGTATGATTTTAACATGGTAGCACCAACATTGCCTTTCTTGCACGTGCTTTCTTTGAATTTCTTTCCATTCTTCTGTGTTTTTTAAATGTTGGATTGGCATATGTTTTGTTTTTTCTTTTTTTCCCCCTATTACTAGTACTATCCTCCCAAATTCTACCCCCCATAGTAAAATAGGAGCCCTCTATAGTAACCAGTAAGTATAGTGAAACAAATAAAATGTGTACAAAAGTGAATGTCTTGTTCTGAACCTACATTTCCATCATCTCTCAACCAAGAGATAGGAGGTTTGCTTCTTCAAAGTTCTTCATTCTTTGAAAATTATTTTTCTTTATATTGTTATAATCAGTATATACATTTTTTTAAACTGATTCTTCTCACTTCACTCTGCAGAAGTTTATACCAATATTCCTAGTTTTTCTGAATCTGTCCGTTTGTCATTTATTATAGTACAGTAATATTTCATTACATTTGTATGTCATTATTTGTTCAGCCATTTCCAAATTAATATATACAGGTTTCTAATTCATTGTTACAACAAAATGTGCTGCTATAAATATTTTTGTATGTATGGGTTCTTTCTGACCTTAATCTGTTTGGAATATTTTAGCAAGTAGTGCCATCACTGAGTTAAAGGGTACAGGTTAGCAACTTTGGAGGTGTAGTTCCAAATTGTTATCCAAAGTAGGTGGACTACTGCATGGATTTACCAACAGGCATTATGTCCTACTACAGACCCTTCACAATTGTCTTTTTCCTTTTTTGCCAGTCAAGAAAGTTTGAGGTAGAGTTTCTTGAGTAGTTTTATATTTGTTCATCTTATTATTAATAATTTGGAGGACTTTATCCATATGGTTTTTGATAACTTGTATTCCTTCCCTTCAAAGCTGTCTTTTCATATTCTTTCACTACTTATCTATTGGGCAGTAGCTGCTATCCTTTTGTATTTACATTAGTTTTTTATATAGTACATCTAGTTTATAAGAACTTTATCAGAGAAGTTTGCTATAAAGATTTTCTTCCTGTTATAACTTTTTCCCTTCTAATTCTTCATATAGTGTTCTTGTTTTTGCAAAAGTTTTGAATTTTATATAATCAGAATTGTCCATTTACTCTTCTATTATTCTCTCTATCCCTTGTTTGATCCAGAAATCTTCCTCTAATTATAGTTGTGAAAGGTCCCTCTTTCTTCTAATTTGTTTATATTTTTTATATTTAGGTCTTATATGCATTTGGAGCTTACCTTGTTATATATTGTGAGATGGTAATCTAAGTAATTTCTTTGAGACTGCTTTTTTTCTTTATTTTCTTGAGTTTTTTTTCAGTCATAAAAATCTGACTTCTCTCTATCCCATTCTTCCTTGTGAGAACAAAAGAAAAACAAAACCTCTTTTACAAACATGGAGAGTCAAGCAAAACAAATTTCTGCATTGGTTATGTCCAAAAAGTTCTGTACTTATTCTGCACATCCTGTGCTTTCTAGTGTTTAATAGGAATGGGTATTGACTTTGTTAAAAGCCTTTTGTGCATCTAATGATATAATTATATATTTTTTGTTTTTGTTATTCATATGATCAATTATGTTTATAGTTTTCTTAATGTTCAACTAGCCCTGTGTTCTAGTATGAATTGTACCTGGTCATAGTTTATGATCTTTGTGATATATTCCTTTAATATCCTTTTTAATGTGTTATTGAAATTTTTGTGTTAATATTCTTCAGGGACAATGGCATATTGTTTTCTTTCTGTTTTTGCTCTCCCTGGTTTAAATATCAAAACCATATTTATATGATAGAAGAAATTTGGTAGAACTATTTTTTTTTCAAACAGTTTATATTATATTATGTTAGAATTAATCTTTAAATGTTTGGTAGAATCTATTTGTAAATCTATCTGGTTTTGGAGTTTGTTTTTATTAGGGGAGCTCATTTATATCTTGCTCACCTTCTTTTTCTAAGTAGAGTTTTTCAAGTATTCTATTTCCTTTTCTGTTAGTCTGGGTAGTTTATATTTTTATAATTATACATTTCATAAAGGCTGTCACTTTTATTGGCATATGGACAAAATAGCTCCTAATGCTTTAATTTCATCTTTGTTGTTTTCACTTTTTTCATTTTTGATCCTTGTAATATGATTTTTTTTTTAAATCAGGTTATCCAGTGGGTTATCTATTTTGATTTTTTTCCCCCTGATAAAATGAGCTCCTAGTTTTATTTATTAGTTCAATGTTTTTTTTTTATTTTCTATTTTATTAATCTCTCCTTTGGTTTTCAGGATTTTTATTTTGGTGCTTCATTGGAGATTTAAAATTTGTTCTTTTTCTAGTTTTTTTAGCTGCATATCCAAATTCATTGTTCTATTCTCTCTCTTTTACTGATGTAAGTGTTTAGAGATACAAACTTTCCCCTAAGTACTTCTTTGGATTCATCCCATTGGTACGTTGTCTCATTGTCATCATTATTTTATGAAATTATTGATTGTTTCTCTGTAATTTGTTTTTTGACTCATTTTTTAGGACTAGATTATTTAGTTTCTAATTAATACTTAAGAGATTATTTTACAGAAAACTCACAAGTCAAGTGCTCACATGAAGGTCAGAAGAAGTGATACAAGGTCTCTCTGAAGAATTCTCAAATCAAGTGGGAGACATGGGAGACACTGGCACAGGGCTGTCCAGCATGGTGCGTGGCTGTTTCAAAGAAGGTGCTATATTCTGCGAGCAAAGCAGAATTGCAGTAGCTCAAATGAAGCAAA